CCCCATGCTGGTATATCCCCACGGAGAGGCACCAAAACCCCATGGAAATGTCATTTTTCCATCACTTGCACCGAAACAAAGCCCCACGGCAGGACAGGGAGCTCCTGTATCAGCATTCCTCCCTCCTCCCTGGCACACTGACCCTCCTGTCCCTGCTGGGGACACCCCAGCACAGCCCCTACCCGGGCTGAACCGCGACACACTGCAGATCCGGGGCGGGTGGCCATAATGCCCGGCAAGGACAGCCTTAATCCCCGTCTGGAGAACACCAACGCTGTCCCCGCGGCACAGCCGGGGGCACCGAGATCCCTTCTTAGCGTGGGACACGGCAGCAAGGGCAGATGGCCGGGGAGGTTGTGGTGGGGTGAACCAGGCACAGCATCTCCGGGCACCCCGTGCCAGGGCCTCACCCGCTCACAGGGCAGAATTGGCCCCAATATCCCACTCAACTCTATTCTTTGTCACTTTGAAGCCATCTCCCCCTTGTTCTATCCCTCTATCCTCAATTCCCAGCTCTCTTAGAGCTGCTTTACGCACTGGAAAGGGCTCTAAGATCTCCCTGGAGCCTCCTTTTCCCCAGGCTGAGCAGCCCCAGCCCTCCCAGCCCGCACGAACAGCCCTGCTGCGCTCTCCGGCAGCCCTTGAACTTTACCAACTGATTTAAGCGCTGCCCGGAAGGCACCGAAAAGCTGCTGCCGAGCACGGGACACCCACGACACCCGGCGGCACCCACCGGCTGCCAGGAACACGGCTGCCCTTTAAATAAAACACGGAACTGAAGCTGAACGCTGCTGCCCCGCCGACTTCCTCGGAGGAGCCGCCGGCAGCCACCCGGCCCCGAGCCCCGGAGCCTCCGCCGAGCCCCGGCCGTGCCTCCCAGCCGCCTCCGCAGCCCCTGACGAAACTCTCCCGGAATCCTCCGGCCCCGGCGGGGAGGAGGCACCGCCAGAAGAAAAGTTATGACAAGTTTCCTCGGGGCCACGAAGGCTGCGGTGGCGTGGGGAGGACACGCCTCGGCCAGGAGCGGCGTGCCCCGCATCCTCCCGGGGTGTCCCGCATCCTCCCGGCGTG